AGTTTTCTAATTAATTTTTGTCATTCCTACGTGTTCGTCTATGCTTACGTCAGTATAACAATTAGAAGTATTACGAGGACAGACTCAAGGACTTAAAATTGTTTTCCCTTCGACGCAGACGCATGAGGGGTGATTTAATTGAACGTTCAAAATAATGAACGGTTTGTTGGGCATCAAAAGTGAGGAACTATTCTCTGAAATCCCGGCAAGTGGCACCAGGGGGCATTGCTTTAGACTGCACCGTAATCGTAGTAGGCTGCAACTCCGAGCAAGGTTCTTCATCAACAGAGTGATCCCACTGTGGAATACGCTGTCAGAACACGTGGTCAGATGCAGCACTTTAGTTGCATTCAAGACTGCTCTGGATGAGTGTTGGAGAACCGTCTACCCAGAAGCAGCCTACTGAGGAGTAAGGAGCTAAGAAAACACTCACGCAATCTAGCCGGTAAGGTTTGATGTTTGCAGATGTGGATCCTGGAGATAAGTGCTTTCTGTCAGGTATTTCCTATGAATCCACCAGGTGCCAACATTTTATGTCGATTCCGCCAGGTGTCAGTGGTTAGGATCAGGGTTCTTCATGCTAACCTTTGGCAGCTTGGCTCAGGCATAGACCGCTGGGTCTCATCTGTCTATTTTCAGAAACACCCCAGCTAAGATCGTGTATTGAAGACTGAGACAACTGGACCCACCAAAGAAAACGAACAATTACGTGATGTACCGAGTGTTCATAGTTCACCCCCGGTTCCTCAAGTACCCAGTTGAAGCCGAACATTTCCGAAGGCTGCGACCAACCGCTGCTTTTCATGTAGTGAGTACCATCTTCTTTCGACTTGTCGGTTTCGTAATGCCACTTGCCATGCGTGCGATAAGATGGGTCATATCCGCAAGGTGTGCCGAATGCCCAAGTACAACCTCGTCCATTCTGACATCCCAATGGCAGATGAGAATTCAAGCCCAATCTACACGCTGCAAGCCACTGAATACAACAGCAAGTTCGTGTTCGCCCCACTGAGGTTCGAGTCTGGTGTGGAGCATCGATTCATCATGGACACAGGAAGCAGCGAATCTATCCTACCGAAATCAGCACTCACTGCGATTTGTCCCAATGCTGTTCTAGCCCCGACTTCGGTGCGCATTCATGGGATTACCAGTCATCAATTGCAATTACTTGGCGAAACGATGTTGTGCGTTCAATCTGAGTCCCGTGTGTCAATCCCGATCCGATTCCCGGTATCAGGCCACAGTCCACAGTCCATCCATTCTGGCCCTGCAAGCAATGCGGCTACTACAAGGATCAATCACACTGCATACCAACGATAAACCAATCACTTCACACCTTCAATATTTCATTGTACAATGTTCCGGTAACGTTGGTGGCATGAAGGTACCGTCGGTAAAGTTTTTTCTGAAACGACGCGTTCTTCCATACGGTCAACGGGAAGGTGCCCTGAAAGCGTTACAGAAAATGGAACAGGATGATGTGATAAGCAAAGCTGAATCCAGTGCCTGGGCGACCCCGATTGTCGTGGCGATGAAAAGTGATGGTAGAACAGCACGGATCTGTGGAGACTAGCGACTAACCTTGAATCCCCGATCGCGGAGATGTGCAGCGACCACCATAGAACCAGAGGATTTCATGAAGATTTTGCATGTTGCCAGTATTTTTCGGAGATAGATTTGGCGGACGCATACCTACAGATTCCACTCAATGAGGAATCTCGCTACTTGACAACCATCAACACGCGGTGGAGAATGTACCAGTATACTTTTCTCCCGTTCGGATTGCATGTGTCGTCCGGTTTTTTTCAATCGGCAACAGATAGTGTAATAAAAGGACTCGACAGTGTGCTTGCATATCAAGATGACCTCCTTATTTTCGGCCTTAACAAGAAAGAATACGATGCCCGTCTTACGCAGCTACTGGAACAATTCGTCGCCAGTAACGTGGCTATCAAGCCGTCCAAATGTGTGTTTGGTGTGAGTGAGTTGGAGTTTCTAGAATCCACAGTTGATGCTCGTGGATTGCGTTCCGATCCGACACGTTTCAAACCATGAACAAACATCGAATCTCCTAAGGATCAAACGCATTTGAGATCCGTGATGGGATGCCTACAGTACTATTCCCGATTTATCCCGAACTTTGCTACAAGGGCACAACCGCTTTTCCGTGCTCAATGTTCAGACGCTTGGGAATGGTCGGTGGAGTGCTAAGATATCGTACGTAGTCGTTACTGGTCGTCCTGCTTTGGCGCGGTTTTCACCATCAAAATCTACCATACTAATCGCCGANAGAAGGATGCCCAGTGATCTGCATTTCACGTCTACTTAATGCGGCTGAAAAGGAATACTCGTAGACTCAAAAAGAAGCGTTGGCTGTGTTTTGGGCTGTTCGACGATTGTACAAGCTCCTTTTCGGATTACGATTTACCATCATCACTGATCACGAAGCGCTACAGTTCTTGTTCAACCCCAACAAATCCATCGCGAAGTTCACTGGTGCTATGCTACAGAGGTGGAGCATCGCCCTAGCCGCGTACAACTACAACATCCAGTATCGTCCAGCAAAGACAATCCCGCAGGCCGATTTCCTCTCGCACTACTCACGATTTTCAGTGGCCAAACAGTATCATTCCATCGCCCCAGCATCACCAGTATCTCGGGAATCTTTAAGCAAATCTACCAAGCAGTACTACTCGTCCATACTCTCAGTGATAACAAAGGGTGGTCACCCCAGGTAAAGAGAAAGTATCCCAGTTCTTTGCTCATCGAGAGGAGTTGTCAGTGCAATTGGATGGTGTATTGTGTCGTGACGCTCGTTTGGTAACCCCACCACCACTACGGAAGACGGTACTAGACGAATGGTATAAAGGACATATGGGAGTGGAGAAGATGAAATCATTGGCTCGACAGATATGTTGGTGGCCGGAGTTGGACGCAGACATTTACGCAACGGCCAAGAACTACGAACACGGCTGAAAAGCTGGACACAATGACCGGAAAGTTACGTATCATGGCAAAGGGTTCATGTGGATTTCCGTTCTCCATTTCTGAACCGGTATTACGCGCTGGTTCTAATCCATTCATTCGCCAAATAGCCAGAGGTATTCTTCACGACTACACCCAACACATCATTTGTGATACGGAAATGTACTACGGAAATGTTTCAGTCACTAAGGGATTCCACAAGTGCTTGTGACAGACAATGGATCTCAGTTCTGTGCGACCGAAATGAAGCTTTGGATGGACAGCATTGGTTGCGAACATCTTCGAACTGCGCCAAAAAAACCCTGTTCGCACGGAGCGGCAGAGAATTTAGTCAAAACGGTCAAGAGTGCAATTGCGTCTGCCAATCCTAAAACGCTACCTGAATGGGAAACGGTGGATAAATTCCAATACCGAAACGCAACACATATGACCACCAAGGAGAGCCCGGCAATGTGTTTTGAATCCAGACACTTACGATCCTCCCTACAATGCCTCGACTCCAGTGACGTCATATACTTCCGCGACCCGCTACTGCTATAGTCTCACGACAACTGGGTCAAGCTATGGTGGAAATTACCGACGTGAATGACGCTACTGTGCATAAATGACACGTGGACCAAATCCACTTCGAATCATCCACGGACCAGCTGCATCAAGAGACAAGCGAAGGAGAGAATCAGGTGCAAGCCCCGTCAGAACACCCGACGGAGCCGCATCAGTCAAATGCGCACACACAACCAATCGAAACGCCATGAACAGACGGAGTCAACGATTGCAGTCCACAGGTCTATCCGTCAGGCGAGCCAGATTGACAAAGCACTCTTGAGGGAAGAGAGTCGCGGTAATCTAGACATACGTGACCGCATTCCAAGCACGACCAGGTACAGCTTCATGTCATCCAATCGCAGTTCAGGAAGTTCGGCCAATGGTACACCGGGTGAACATTACATCCGCATTAATACGTGTGATGCCTCGGCGCAAACGCTTACGTGATTGGACGCCGGTCCTTCAATCAATTACATGGCCTATTACTTTCTATAAAACATCCTCTAATTCTATCAATGAATGTAATCATTTTTTGCCACGAATTCGTCGTGTATTTCATTGGGTTGAAGCCAATCGAATTCTGAGCATAACGCTATGGGCTCTCGTTTTCCTACATTCAGTTTTATCTCGATTATCACACTAGCTCTTCATAGGACTTCTTTTTAAACGAGATGATAAATGTGCGCTACGAAAAAGCGACGATTCGAAAAGGTCACTGATCCTACTTTTGTTGCCACAACGCTACTTGCAAAACGCTCAAACAGACGAGTCATTCCGTGAATCTCAAAATGTAGATTGAATACCTTCTTGTCGATCACTTTACCATTGCCTTATCCGCCAAATTATTCAGAACGAATGATCAAACAATTATTGCAAGTAATCAAGGAGCACACTCCGTTCTTTTCCATTATGGGCGCAAGGAAATCCGACACAAGCACAGTGTTCAGACAACTTGTGGATGAGAGCCATCAAGCAATGCAGCTCTTTATAGGTACGCAACACAGTGGAAGAAGATGATCATGACAATTGGTGCTACTCACGGAAGTTGACGGGAACCGGAACAGGTAACTCAATTCATCAACTGAGACCAACCGAGTCATAGAATCAAAATCGACCACTCATATTTATTCCATTAGACTATTACATTAATTTAATATTTTTAAGTTTATTAACCTGAAGCAGAAATAAAAAACAGCATTTTGCTATCGCTTTTACTTACTACTGTTTATTCCTGTCTCATTTTGACGCTGTGAACACTTTTTAGCTCATCAGCCAACCTCACTAGTGCACACACACACACAAGAGCTCGTGCTGGCCACGTGTTTGTGCTGGTTGTCTATCCACTAAGCTTCCTGCCACGGATTTCCATGAATTTGTTTGAGCTCGTCACCTGACTCATCATCCTTGTCGTGAAGCTACCATACGCCCGCTCCATCTGAATGTTGCGTCTTGCATCTGTGCTGATTGTATGCCAGGGTCGGTTTACAAAACGGTATTAGAAAGTAAGATTGGAACAACTACTGGTGAACACATCATGATCGAATCAAGTGAAAGTATATATAAAATCGATTGCCACGTACTGCGACCACGCTGACTTGTCAAAAAACGGTCGGATTGTTCTATTTTTGCTAAATCTAAACCAATTAATTAAATGATCATTGGAGAGAGAATGAATATTGACTGATCTATATGACTGTTACAAACTTTGAAATCAGTACATAGTATGTACCTCCCATTTTTTTCTTCTCTTGAACTACTTGAGGTAACTTAATTACCCAAAAACTGATTGCGTCATCCCTGTGCTATAATTGATTCGTGCTTTCCCCCAAGGTGGATCATCGGGAGCCTCTGTGGTCCTGTTTGGGATACAGTGAATGAGCCATCGAGCACAGAATATTGGTCGAAATTCAAACAAAACGTGGTGAATCAATCTCCTCCTCCGTAGATGATGCCAGCCAAGTTTCCAGTTTCTGTGCATCGGGCCACGGGCCAACGGTATCGATCAATCAACGATCATACAGAAGCTGTGACTCGAAGAACAAACAAATAATATTTCTATTTGTATCTTTCAATAATTGAACTACTACTTCTAAGGCCTTCTTCCTGCATCTCCGTGGCGGGAGCTTCAGCGTACGATTGCTGATACGATTCCGTGCTTTATTCGCTACTGTGATTCATGCCTTCACCGTTTAAGAGGGATTGTGATCTTTTTCTTGTTTCAGTCCAGTCGAGCTCAAAAATTCGAGAAAAAGAATTATTTCGTTTAATCGAACAACACCATTCAACAAGTAGCAGCCAAATATTCTAAATGTGAAGCATTCCACTCAGATGCAGTCACTCACAAAATGTTTTGTGTTTATGTAACTTGCCTCACGCATTCCTTAGCTTAGACCTAAATGCCATCTCGGCAACTTAAACGTGGCTCATGTGAATCGTAACATCCAGTTTTCAGCTTATACAATCATGAACCTCGTTTTTTTGCGAGGCGGTTTCAGTTGCTGTCCTCTGGCTACATATTTGGTCGAAAAATGCGGAAAAAGCAGATGTATTAGGGAGAAGCCGAAGGAAGTATTGCAATAGGCTTAGGTTTCCTTGTGTAGCAGGGTGTCCATGAACGGATAGACGAGGCAACCGAATGTGGACGGAGCTCCGCATGGGCTGGAACCGTCGATGGACAAAAAGTTCCACATGAAAAGAACTGACTGACACTGAAAGTAAAAATAAAACCACTATGAACCAAAAGACCCAGTGTTTCATGTTTCATGTTTCAGCATGGATATGACTCACTGGAACCAAATGGCTGGTTACCAGGGCTGTAATAGTACCAATATGAAGGTAAAATTCGAGTTATAATAGGTGGGCGAATAAATTGAATAAATTAAAGAGCGTCACTGTTTACGACTACCGTGTTACAAATCGATCCAACTGATCCCCAGGTCTATAACCAGGCATTCCAAAGCGACGTCCATAACCGAGTCCTCTGGTTAGGCTTTTTATGCCTTCCTGCACAGATTCAGTTTGGAAGGCTCATGAGGTTTTTCTACCCATCGTACATTGAGGAAGCCTAACTGTTGACAAGATTTACACATGCCCCAGCTACATAAACCCGTGGAATTCAAGCACTTGCTCCAATACGTGAATGTGAATACCTAAAACGTTGTCTGAACTCGGCCTTTTCAATCCGGTCGCCCAATCACGTTTGCGTAATGTTGCATAAACAGGGGTGTTCCAACACCGAATCAATCTTTATTCTGTCCCCGTAAAGACCGGGTCTTTGCAACATATAGCAGCACCGGTCGGACTGTTTCAGTATTCACTCGACCCTTGTATTCCCGTGCCCGACGTTTCATCCGAGATTCCTCCAACAGGTTAGATGTGGTTGTTCAAATAACAAAGCTTCTCTACTAATTCCTCAGCTAGGTTTGATTGGGAGCTGGATCTGTCTAATATTCTGAAGGTACAAAACGCATACTGAACATAACCGCGTAAACAAACAAACTATCTGGAAAAGCTTTCAAATGAGC